GCTAAATCTCGTGGCTGACGCGGCCGTTATGTCCTCGGGCTCTGGGTTGAATCACTTCAGGTTCGGTGCCGCTTAGTTCTGCATCGTACTGCTTACCGTCAAAGACGCGCTTCGGTTTTCATTAAGAAAAGATGGCAATGTCCTCCTGGTTCAAAACGAGAAACTTACAAGTATTTCGACCTACCCGTCGTCTCGACTTATAGCTCGTCGTCTCGACTTACAGTTCTGCCCTGTCCAAGGTCGCCATGCACTGACTATACTGCGTCTGCGTCCGACGGACGGGCCGTGATCGTGCGCCCGGCATTGAAAGTTCACGGCTGCGGACATCCTCGCGATCGTTTGCGAACACAATCTTCTTGGCGGCTGGACTCAAGTTGTGGCACCGTAGCCATAGTTGTCCACCTCGTAGTCGTGTTCCGGGTAAGTCTGTGAAGTAGGCGTGTACGTTTCCGTGCCGGGGTCCACAGCCGTGTTCGTTCCGCTCGATCGCACACGCACCGCCGTGTTGGCCGGCCTCACGGTCGGGACGAGCATCAACTGGCGTGGCAGGAATCGACGTGCCTTGAAGGGGGTGGTGTTCGAGAAAAGATCTCTCAAGGCCGTGCGTCACCTACTTGGCCCCGCGTGAGGTCGCAGCCGCATATGAGGCCTAATGGCTAGGATAGAACCTTGTGGCCGTTCAGGCGCAGGTTCGACTCCCGGTAGTGTACTGGCAGAAAACGGCGCACTCAGAGTACTTAGGTGCAATCCCAGACAGGGGAAAGTAATGTAAAGTGATGCGCTGTTAAAGATTAGTTATTGTCTAAAAAGTGTGTGCGCACACATTTCGCATAGCATGTTCCGCATCATGCCACCCTTCAAATTTAGATACCACCAGTACATCTCTTTTGCGTTTGTGGGGCCGGTTAAGTGAAGGAGGCGTTCTCAACTTAGCTAACCTTGGTGGCGTTGTGCTGCGAAGCCGGACCCATCGTTTATTACCCTCGAACAGAGCGTCATGGTCTTCACTGATTCGTTGTGTCGAGCCCGGCTCATCCCGGTCATTATCCGAGTCAGTTCGGTCATCGCACTCGACTTCGGTTCGGTTCTTCCCCGAGCCCCCATCTCATGTATGCTCGTGTGCTCGTGTTTGTGCCCAACCCGTGTTTCACTTACCTCCGGTGTATTTGAATCGCTGCGTCATAGTGCAGTCCATTGTGAATCCGTGATCTGAGCAGGTTCTTCATCCGTCATTCCTTCTCTATGAGATTCCTCCCTCACGATAGCGTTTACATCGACCGCGGGCAATATGTGTATCTGCTTGAAGGAACGGTGTATTTCCTTTCCTTGGTAGGAGAGGGTAACCATACTTCGTTCAGCATCCACGGACACGATTGGTACAGGTTCCGTGTAGGGTGTGTCCAGTTTGGCGTCAGTTGGTAACCTAGCGCAAGCCATCATACCAATTTTCGGTTCTACATGAACATGCTTCAATTTGCTATCCAATTCGTCCTGGACCTGTCGCGCGTGATCTGCCGCTCGCTGCCGTATCAATGCCCCACGTTCCTTTCTTTCCCGCAAGTCTTCTAACAGCTCGATTGTAATGCTGGGTTCCTCCACCGGTTTCGCAAAGAGGACTTCTGCGGGTGACGCACCTAGCGTTTCGTGGTATGTGTAGTTGTACGCTTGCACGTACAACCTTAAATCGTCTATCCAAGTTGCACCAAGTCCTTCAGGGTTTCTAAAGTAACGGTTTAAGTATCGGTTGATAGTCTCCACAGGGGCTCTCGCAATTGGATGATAGGTGCATTGTGAACCCAGCTTATTTTGAGGGACTCGGATTTTTGGCGTGAAAGATTGCTTGTGAACTGAGGGCCATTGTCACTAATGATTCTTCGGGAATCCCGAAGACAGTGAACCATCGTCTGCATAGAATATCCCATAGTATGGACGAGTCCAATTCGGGTAGCACAGCTATCTGCCAATAACGGGATGCCACGTCCAGCATGTTCAAGATGTACATTGTCTTTCGGTTGGGTCGGCCACATGGTCCATTAACATTAATCTATGAAGAGGTCCCAGCGCCCTTATGTGTAGCGGGAGGCCTTGTAATTTTTCCAATCCGTGTTTAGTCCTCTGACACTGAAGGCAACGGGCTACCAATTCCGAGATTTCTTGGTGCATTTTTGGCCAATAGTATACTGTACAAAGAATCCGTCGCATTTTGGTAACTCCGAGGTGAAGACCATGAGGGCTGTGGAAATCCGACAGTGTGACTTGTCGCAGATCATAGGGGACAAAACAACGTCTCCCTTCCCAATAACATCCTTGTCTTCTGTCCAGTATGTTTTTTTCAGTTAGTTCCGCGGCTTCCCGATCCTTCTTTGATACTTCCCTAATTCTCTCTAAGTCCAGGCTGCTGTAACGATGGATTCGCGTACCAGTGGGAAGTTCCACTGGGTCCATCGTAACAGCCGGGAGAGCAATATACGGATGTGACAATTCCTCCACTACATCAGAGATAACGTCGGAGTTAGCCGATCGGCTGAGATAATCAGCCACCTGATTATCCGATCCTTTTCTGTAAATTATTCTTGCCTCAAATTCGTCCAACGTCGAATTCCACCGGGCGATTCGGCCCTTCTCACAGTGCTTCATCCATTGGAGAGATTCATGGTCGGTTCTTATAGTAAGTGATCGTCCAAGCAGCAGTTCACGAAAATGACGGAGCGCCCACACAACTGCAAAAGCTTCCAGTTCCCTTACGGGCCATCTGCTCTCCTGTTTAGTAAAAGCATGCGATGCATACGCTAAAGGTAAC